GTTTTGTCTGTGGCAATAAAACAGAACAAGTGGCCCTCTAAATTCTACGAAGAGTTGAACATTCAAACGATAATATTGGCATCCAAGCAAGTTAGCCAGACTCTTTGGACCCAAAACAGAAGCCCGATCGGTTTTGATCAGTATAAATGAACATAACAGGGTAGAAGACCTTCCATATCGATCTGATCCAAGAAATGGAACAAGTGAAGCTATTTGGAGCTTTTCCAAGCGCATATGTTTACAGAGTAATCTGGGCTTTGCTCTTGGAGGACCTCTCCAAAACAGGAGCTCAAGGGTGTACAATTTGAGTACATGGAAGAGGACCTCTCCAACAAGAGTGCTTTGCTCTTGGAGTACAACCCAGTTCACAAGAAGGTTCCTGTTCTTGTACATGGTGGAGTTCCAATTGCAGAGTCCATCGTTATCCTCGAATACATCGAGGAGACATGGCCGAATGATCATCCGCTGCTGCCACAAGATCCTTATGAGAGAGCCCAAGCTCGGTTCTGGATTAAATATCTGGAAGGCAAGGTAATTTATTTCTCACTTCTTGCACAGACTGACACACGTAGACCACCAGGTGTTTGATTTAAAAACGTTGAGATGATCCTCTGTTTGCGTTCTTATTTTCTGATATTTTTGGTCATGTAGCAAGCAACCTTCTTTGCAGCGTTTTGGACTGTTGGGGAAGAACAGGAGAAGGCACTCTCAGAGACGCCGGAAACGTTGAAAACCATTGAAGAGCGTGCTCTTGGAGAGAAGAAGTTCTTCGGTGGAGACAGAATTGGAATGGTGGATATAGCATTCGGGTGGCTTGCTCACTGGATTGGACCGATGGAAGAGCTCTCAGGCGTGAAGTTGGTGGAAGCCCATGCGTTCCCTCGCCTGTATGCATGGATGGAGAATTTCAAGGAGGTCCCAGAGATCAGAGACAACCTTCCTGATCGCCATAGAATGTTGGCCTATTTGAAGCGTAGAATGGAGATGTTTGCCATGATGGCTAAATCGCTGTAATGAGAAAAAGGTCATAAACTAAGTATGTTGTTGATTGGTCTTTTGTAGTTGGATTATTCATGGCTTGCATTCTCTTGGGATTCTCTGTTCTTACCAGGGCTTGAGATATATAGTTTCGATGTTTATGTTCAGGAACGACAATAAAGAGGAGTTTTCTGTCTATATTTTGTTGCAATATCGTAGCTTGTATTCTGCTTCATTTTCTGAACGAGCAAAATCTTGGTTCTGAGTCTCTGAGTCAAAGAAGTGTAATTATATATGCAGAATTTCAACAGGACATATTTATTTCTTTACATGATCTGTTCTACGGTTGTTTTAGATGTGTGTAGAGTAGTCGAAGGAACAATATCTAAATATCTAATGGCTCGCATTTGTACATGATAAAATGATGTTTTCAACCCACGGTGAACTGGCCGGTTAGACCAGTTGACCCATCATTCGGCCAATTATATTTGGTACATTTCACCCTTGAAGTTCTCACTTGAGGAAAAAAAAAAAAACATTAATTCGGTTAGTAGGTTGATGTAGCGCGATCCGGTTATTCCTAGCTGGCGGTGGTCTGGCTCCTAACTGGCGAAGGACAGCACCTGAGATGGAGAAGACATTGAAGAATTCCCGGGGAGTTTGCCCGACGGGAACACTCCGACGATCAAGTTAGAACTCTGTGAGAGAATTGCAGAGAATACAAGGAGAGCTAAGAGTGCAGATAGCGCAAATCAAAATTACCTCTTCTCTCTGGGGGTTGGAATTCTTATATAATGGTATCCTGTCAAATCTGACATAACCGTTTCTGATTCTCTGCCGCAGCCGTTACTTGCTAGGGCTGCGCAGGTCACTGTTGTAGAGTACGGCTCTGTCAAGCGGGGGACACCTCTCAGGTTTGGCAGGCACGACGCCACCTAGCGAGAGACGTGGGTGCAGGGCTCCAGGTTTGGCAGGTACGGTTGTCAGGGGAGATCTCCCTGTGATACGCCGAGCTGTCTTCCTGCGAGCTACCTTGCACCGAGCTACCCTACGCCGAGCTGGAGGTGCCACACTAAGGTTATTCCACCCGAGGTGACCTACTTAAGCCTGTCGGAACAAATTTATTAGGAGGCTCCCGAGCTCACCCCGAAGTCCCTTGAGCTCGGGAGATCCCTGCCTTGCAATACCCTGGCTTGGGATGCCTGTGGAAGAATCTTAGCTCGGGGTGTTCCCTTCTTAAGGAGGAGCTCGTGGCTCCTTACTGTGGTGGAGCTCGGGGGCTCCTTTACTTGGGAGGAGCTCGGGGGCTCCTTTACTTGGGAGGAGCTCGGGATAATCGGAGTGTCACCTGGGGCCGAGCTGTCACGCTGGACTTTGGCGGACTAGTCGTGCTGAGCTATCACTTATGCTGAGTCACGCCCACATGTCCCTCTATGATGAGGTCGGGACAAATCACCCTCCATCATAGGTCATTAGTCATTAGTCATATTTATTTTATTTTTCTTTTTTTTTTGCATTTTATCTATTTTCGTTATTAGTTAGTAATAATAATTTTCATTTATCAAATACGTGCTAAACTTTTTTGCTAATTTTCTATAATTTTTTAGGGTTCGACTATAATACCAGAAAGATATCAAAAAAACTTACGACCAATCAATTGGTATCATAAAAAAAGGGTAACAATCACATGGTGTTCATCACAAACAGGGTGCTTTGATTGGTCAAAGCTCTTCCATTACCACCAAAGTTCAAAATATCAATACGCCCGATACGTAGATATGAGCGTATTGGGCGAACCAATATAGCTTTTGATGTTTTTTTTATTTTTTTTTTTCGCAACCGATTCAGGGGGGGCAGTTTAGGGCTCCTCCATCCCCCGAACCGGTCAGACCCCCAATACACCAACTATAGGGACATATCGGAGAGATCCCGGAATGATACGTGTCGATACTTTGAACCTTAGTTACCATGTCTTTCCGGTGTCATAGATTTTCCTTCTTTTTATAATTGTATTTATTTTTGTTTTCATACCCATTTGACTGCCACCAGAGTCCGAGACAAAGAAATTTCAATTTGTATACTATTATTAAAACACGAAGGATAGATGATAGGGAAAAAAACAGAGATGATGCATGAAATGATTGAGTGATGGCTGATTTAGGCTCTCCGGATTTTTTTCACCAAACATAGCTTATATGCTGTCTTTATGAGCCCACCTTGGAAAGGCAGAAGTAGTCAGCCCTCCTAAAGAGATCACATTTCCTGCAACCCCCGTTGCAGGACAAACCCGAGACCCCCCAGTGATTATTGAACATACCAATGTTTGGTGAAAAAGACAAAATATCACACACCTGCAAACTGCAACGAAGGTCACAGGAAACTCGACCTCCCTCCCTCCTAAACAGGCACCGAGTCTTTTTTTTTTTTTATATTTGACCCTAGCTATCCTAGTCCTTTCAACTTGTAACAATTCTCAATCTATTTTCTGTCATTTTATCAATTAGATGCGCTCATGTGGCTTCATTTCTGACCACTCATCCATATGAACATTCACATATCTACCACACTCATTTTTTCTTTTTGACATGTTTCTTCTTCTCAACACTCTAATTCCATACAACATTGATCCCATTACAATTGATTTTATAAAATTTTCAGTTTAGCTAAATTAGTATTTACATATCACACAAGACTCTGAATGCATGCCTCCATTTTTCTCATCCTTCTCTAATTTTATGAATCACATCAACCTGAATCTTTCCTTTGCAATGAATTTAAACCAAGGCAGAGAAAGAGATTACAGCGAGTTATTTACTCCTAATTATTATAAAACCTCTTGTTTCTAATGCAATTATCTATAAACTTAATTTTGTATTTAATCATCTGTTAGTTCCATCAATTAATACTGTATCATCAGCAAACAACAAGCACCATGGAACCTCCTCTTGAATATCTTGAATATATTTAATCATTCATCTTGTCTAGTTAATAAATCTTGAAAATATTATCGCATTAGAAGCATTTGCAGTTTACACTGCCCAAATCCAGGTAGAAGTCTCAAGGAACAAGAAGGTTCAACTGAACTGATATTGAAGAATTCAACAATTATGACATGATAGTACAGCTTTCTTGATCCCATTTTTCCTGTATCATTCACTCGTTATCAAGCATGGGGATCTTCCCTATAAATTATCTCAACACTCGCTTTAATTCAACATAGGTTTTCACCCATCAATTGCAACCGCTCAAAAAAAATTGGCTAAATCAAGGTGTATTCTTATCAGAATACAAGAATTATCAATGGTATTTCTATTAACCACAAAGCCACCAACAGGTGAACAGCCAATACTCATTGTGGATATCACACTATGAATAAGAAATCAAAGGGATAAGGCAACAAGAAAAGTCATACTTAACCAAGCAATGTCTCCCAAAAAATAAAAGGAAATCAATCAAATCAAAAAAATAAATCTATAGTTGTAACAAAAGAAATCCATAGAGGCACGTATTGTCCAATGGCCATAGATATGATGTAATAAAAAAAAACTAAATATTTAGCATGCATTGGAAAATACTTTGACTCTGCATCAAATTTAAATAACTTACTGTTAACTCCAAATCTGAATTTTCATGAATTTCTATACAAGAAATTCCTCAAAAAAAAATCGATGTTAGCTTCAAAGAGAAGTAAATTCACATCAAACTCTGCATCCATTTGAAATAACTTACCGGTAACTCCATATCTGAATTTTCATGAATCTCTATACTAGAAGTTCCTTAAAGATTCAATCCTTCTTCAACCATCATCAAACTGTCCTTAAATTCCTTCTCTACCAGAATCTAGAGTTTAGGTCTGCCACTATTCACCTTATCCATACAGCTGCTTATGTCACCTATATGAACAATGATTTTAGCAGATTCCTTGGTCAATCAGTATGTGTTTTCTATTCTTCGATAGCCCTTGTCTGCTTTGAAGAAGAGAAGGGAGAAAAGAAAGGAGAAATAGAGGTAGACAGAGAGAGTAGAAGGAACAACTGAGTTGGCTAATCATGCCCAACTCAACTTTATTGTTTGTATGAATTACAAGTGATGTGTGAAAAGTGCCCTTTTTACACAATAACACCACACCTTATATTTCTACAATAAGCAAACATTATAAAAGAAGAGCGAAAATGAAACTACAAAAATGAAAAGCTTATTAAAAATTCAACCCAATTTAATGCAACATTAAAAGCCTCACTAAATTGTTCTCCATTGCATGTGCCATTGCTTTCAAAAGTAAAGAAACTAGCACCAGTGTTCAGGCTACTGTCAGGATGGTGGTTCAACAGTAGGAAAAGCTATACATGAAAAGAGGAACAGAGCCTGGTGACTGAGCTCGATTCATTAATATGTGCAACCATCAGTCCTACAACATAGCAATAAATTAATGTTAGTTGAAGTAATTTGATTTGTATCATGTTATAAAATCAAGGGTGGCAGAGGGAACTAAAATTCATTGACAATATCCCCCAATATGCCTAGTTTTGTGTGTTTTTGGCACTAGCCTCAGACAGCAAAGCTGCAAGTTCTCCCTTCCGATATAGTTTCAAAGTATCTGTGCAGTACAAGAAAACATCAAGGATCAAATGGAGGTCTGAAATAATATTTCGAAAATAAAGTAAGGTTGTATAGCTTTGCCATTTCAGCTCTTTATCTTGACCAAGTAAAGAAAGCCAAATTCCATTCTGAGTTTACTTGTGCAAGTTTCAAGCAAAAGTCAATGAATTTTTTAAATTAATATTTTGAGTTCTATCTACGAACTTTGTCATACATCATTAAATATGCAAACACACATACCTGTACAACCACCTATGTGCCTGCCACCTGTTAAGAAAGAAACTGAGAACCTCAGAGATTACTCTAAAGGAAAATCAAAATGATAATGAGAGAACTTATTGATGCCTTATTTCACAACAAAAGTAAATCCCAGGCCGTAGGAAGTAGGATAAGTTAGTTTAGTTGACTACATTCTCCTTCTTGTTCTCTTATGGAAGTGGTCCCCATCATTTTCCCACTATAAAGACAAGTAACTAATTGAAAATTTGTATCTTGTATATTTAATGTATTGTCATCTAAGAAACCCTTGCAGACATTTCCCACACGCATTTGCTTTGCAGCAGTCCTTTCAAGCCTTGTAACTAGCACAATATTATGGTTAATAATCTAATAATTACAAAATGTATTTGCAAACAAACACAAAATGGATAAATAGAAGCCACATATAGTATAGAACTTTGTCTTCTAGTACTTGAAATTCAAAAAAAAAAAACCCACAACCCATTGTTGGCAAGACTGAGAACTGTACTAACATTGACTTACAAGTATATTGAGGGCATTTGTATATATTCCTACAACCTGTTCATGTCAGCAGTGTACAAATGGTGTCAACACACATCTGGATGATCACTCTATAAAGACCATTGCCCAATGCTGGTCCTATCTATTTTGGCATCTTGGGAAGGGTGGACTGGATATGGTCCGAACTTTTGGCCTTTTTTTGCACAAAGTGGCTGCTGTCAGACTTGAACCTCAATTCTCATGCTTGCTGGCCCGAGATTTTACCATTATACCAAGCCAAAGCCATTTGGTTGATTATCCTAAATTTCTATATGGTTTCATCTTTAGGTAATTCTGGATCAGTTCTGAATCCTAATATAAGTAGTCTGATTTTTCTAGAATTTCTTCTTCAAAAATCAGAAAGATTAAGTTTATGTGTTATCAGCCAACAAATAAAATTTTGAAATAAGAGATAATATGATTGAGAAAAAGTATGAGAAATTCCAGTTGTTTATACAAGGAAACATTAATAAGAGATAAGATGGAAACACGATAGAGAAAAACCCATGATGGGAAAAGAGTTTTGAACCCAAAAAAAAAATACTATAGATGTGTTCCCTCAATTTTTTTAATTGACATAAAATTACATTGAAATTTCAAAGAAAAATGTGATTTTAAGCTAGGTTAAAACTCGGTACAAAACTGAAACTTAAATCCCTGTTTTTGGATGACATGGATATATGGAACCTTTTTAATGCTTAGGATTAGTTGGGTTCAAATAGTATGAGTAATAAGTCGAACAAATATAGGCTCAAAGTGCATACTCAAATTTATGAAATTGATTATACTAAAATATTTTCTACAATCATGAATTCTATACAAATGTTACCTAGTAGTCATGAACCATTCCTAGATTCTTTGACAGTTTGATGTAAAGAATGCATTTCTACGTTGAGATTTCATGGTGCTAGTCACTGATAATATTCATTGATGAAACTAACAAAGGATTAATGCAAAATTAGGTTACAAGAGGTTTTAAAATAAGTACGACCAAAATAGTGTTAGACAATTTTGTATGCCCTTAGCTTCAATCCGATTTGATGTACTTTTGACATTTAGTGTAAATAAATAAAGTGCATGTTTGATTCATGTTGTTTGGTATAATTCTGTGTAAGACCCTAAAACTGGACACTTATAGAGACTCGTGTT